CTGGGGGGGGGGGGCAGAAGGAGGAAGATGGAATTAAAGAGATGAAAAATACATAATGGAGATTTCAAAAATAATTATTAAAACTGAAGAGTATTAGGAATATCAAGATGATAATACATCTGAGTGGATAAATTCTCATTAAATTATACCAAAAATGGTACAAGAAATTCATAATTTGAAAGCATCAATTAATGTGTTTGAAAACAACATAACCTCATTTTCTGAAAAGTAAAAGGTGCAAATAACTTTACAATGCACTTTACCCAATCTTAAAACTAAATAAATAAGCAAAACAGGTAATTTACACTTTAATAAGCTATTCTGGAAAAAACAGAAACCAGTAAAGAAAATGTATTAGCTATTATAATCTTGACTCTAAATATTGAACAGTGGCAAGAAAATCTTTTATCTATTTGAACACGAAACAAAAAAATTATACACTATGCAGTATTTAAAATATCCTGAAGTATATGCAAAAAACAGTAACACAACAGGATTACATAAAATTATTCTATGAATTCAAAGGTGGTTCAATATCCAAACTAAAAGAGAAACCCAAATGATAATCTCAATCAATAAATAATATATATGATAAAACCCATCAAAAGGCAAATCTTTAACAAAAGACCATATGAAGAAAGACCTGATACCTCAAAACAGGGAAAAACTTAAAAACACATAAGCATATGATTAATGTCATAACACCAAAATTGAAGTTTTTTTCAATCATTTATACCATAGAAAAATATAACAAATAAATGACACATTTTTTTAAAAAAGATATCGACAATACCTAAACTGAAAAAAGTTTACTACAGAGAAGAGATAAATCACCAAAAGTAAAGTAATTCAACATATTAATAAGCAAAAAATATGATATTTACAGAATTTAAGTTGGATTGTAGAAACTGGAAAGCTAGGGATGGTCATATGGTTTAGAGATACAGGGCTTGCCTAGCAAATATGAGGACCTGGGTTCAATCTTCAGCACTACCCAAAAGAAAAGGATAAAAACGGAGTTCTAGACAATCCTACCCACTGATAGAGATAAGATATAAAAGGGCAAAGACACTGCCAGTGAGAGGGGGTCTGGTGAAAGCATTCCGGCTTGGATCAAGCCTTGCTTGAATTAATGAAGAACTGAGCCCTGTCTCGCTTTGTCTTCAGTGCATGCATCTCTTCTGGAAACTCTACAGGGAAGGCTGTGGCGAGTCTGAATTAGAGTGGGGGTCTTAGGATAGATATTACAGGTCTCTCTACAAGACACTATGCATTATCCATCCAATCCAAAGTGGGGAAGCAAAAATTCCCATTGCACACCTTGTTAAAAGAAAGTTTGGGCAAGATTTTACACCTTTTTAAAACCAGATTTTTAAAGATTGGCACAAAAATTTAGATAATAGAAAATTGCTAGGTGTTTAAAACTTATTCTCATTTCTGAAGCAAATGAACTGTCTTCTAGTCAACCAATCATCATTATGTACAGTGGAGATCTGAGAAAGAAAAATGCTTAACAGACAATTAGGAGAAAAGAATCTTAGGGTTTCAGTAACTCCAAGAATCCCATCAGAATCAGGTCTGCTCTCCTGAGCCAGGCAGAGGGAGGAAAGAGAACTCAAGGAGACAGAGGCACTGAAAGGTCTTAAGGGTGAGGGTCTTCTTTCCAGTGGTGACTTGGGCAGGTTTATAAGAAGTGGTTATAAACCAGTTCAAATCTCAGGAAAGACTGAGAACTCCTCACAGAGCCTCTTCTTAGGAAAAACAGTGGCAACTGACTGAGAGATTGAAGCAAAGGTGTCATTAACATCACATTCCAAATCTTTGCTCACCCATCAGGAAGTAGTAGAGGCTAGTCTCTAGACAAGGAAACTGCAAAAGGTCTCAGGAAGACCCTGCTGAGATAGAGGCAGGAAATGTACTTCATAGGATCACCTGATTCTGAGGCCAAAGCTGTTCTTACCATTCCCAGTGATGAAAGACACACAGTTATTATATCACTTGGCAAAGACTTTTATCTTTCGGAACTTTCTACCCAGGCAATCTTTGCCAAAACATTTTTCAAAGCCACTGATGCATTTAAAACCAGTGAAATTTAATTAAGCTGTCCCCAGTTTCTACACAATAGCAGGTCTTTTTTCCTAGTGTTAAGGATCAAATCCAGGGATTTACGCATCCTAGGCAAGTGCTTTTATCACTTAGCTACACCCGAGCCATTATGATAGATTTCCATGTAGACAAGAAGCCATGCCTGTACAGCAGTAAAAGCTCAGTTTTAAGAGGCTATGGAACTGGATCTTCAAACGGGGTCAGGTCTTTGGTGCTCTCTCTCTCTCTCTCTCTCTCTCTCTCTCTCTCTCTCAAACGGGGTCAGGTCTTTGGTTCTCTCCCCCCCCCCCCCCCAGCTCTCTCTCCCTCTCTCTGGCTCTCATAGATATTCTAATTTATTTATACGTGTGTGTGTGTGTGTATATACACACATATATGTTGTCTTCCTAGGAGAGACTAGTGGGTCTGAGATAAACATTTCTCTTAATTCAATGAAGAGTCTTTGCTACAAACAATTGGATTGGTGCTGCATTCTCATTCACCAGAGAAGATGATACTTAAGTTTCCCAAACAAAGAGGGAGAAACTCAAACACACACATGCAATATACAGCATATATATTGCTTTAGGTAAAGAAACAAGATATTTAAAAATTAACCCTTTGAGATACAAGCAAGAACTAGGATTAATACACCTGAAAGTACTATACAAAGCAAAGAACCTTTCTAGAAGACATAAAGAAAATTTATGGTGTTCTTAAGGTTATGATTTATTTTAATAACTTTCAAAACCTTAAATGATACAAAAAGTACTAACATCTTAACTGTAACCAGATTTCATATTATCCTAAGCAAGAAAATCTGGTTGAAATACCTTTTAAAATTTCTGTGATTTCTTAAAAGAGCAAACTACAATTTTCCTAAATATCAAAAGGGCAAGAAATGAGAAACAGCATTTGGCTTCACAAACTGTTTAGAGGCAGCTGGAGCAAGGGATCTGCACCTGACACTGAGGGAAGGATTAACGCTGCTCCCTCAGTCAAGGCTACTAAGAAAGCCATAGAAACAGCAGTGGGCTGGGAACATGTGAAAAGAATAAGGAAAAAACACAAGCATGCACGCCATGGACTTGTGAAGCACTCTGTGAGTTTTTTCTGTGAGACGGTTATGATAGCAGATGATACATCAAGCACAGGTCTGGCTTCAGAGTTTCCCAAAGGACAAAGTGAACTTCTCAAAGGACAAAGAACAAAACAATTGATAAGCAGGCCATCGACTGCAGTTGCTTCCATTCATCATTTCCTAGCATTTGTGTCAATGTCTTATCCCCTCAACTTGGTGCTGAGGGAAAGGAGGAAACTGAAATCTAAGCTACCAGAACTAGATTTCTTCTAAGTAACTTTGATCAAACACTCAACCAGTTCTAAAGTATTCTTTTCTTAATTTTTGTCTTATAAGGATCTTTCTTCTTAGTGTTCTTGTTAAAAAGACTGGCTATTTAGGGTCCTGGTTATATCCATCTCTTCTCATTAAAAAGACATAACTTCTAGTATGGATGCTGTTGTATACAACATGCATGCAACTCTAAGAAGGAAGACAATATTCAACTATTTTTAAAGAAGGAAAGGAGATACACCAGAAGAAAGAAAAGTCAGGAATTACATCCAAATGAAGATCCAACTGTCTGATCCCTGAAGAATAAAACTACTGTTACCTAAGCAACCAGGTTACTGTATCTGGGAAATGAAGACATACAAGAGTGACAGAAAAAAAACACTAGCATACTCATTTAATTTCAGATTTCAAAGCTGGGAAGTCACTTTGAATGAGTAATTCTTGCCACCAAAATGGCACATGCTTTCAGAGCATACTCTCTGGCTAAGGTCAAAAGCAATGGAGAAAAACAGCAATGTTTCTGCAATCCTTCCTGAAATCAGCCCAGCCTTCAAGATATTCTGAGCTGTGCTTGCCAGATCTTACCATAGGTAGTCTGCTCAACATCCTCCTTTGGTAATCTTTTGGCATTCCTTCTACTGTTTCATGGTGATTGGGCCAGAAATGTCCTGATAACAATGCTTATTATCTAATCAGCCTAGCCAGGTCCATGTTGCTCACTCTTCTTCATTTCCAAGTATATACAAAACTCAATCTGGCTGGAAATATACTTCCCCTTTTTAGAACTCCTTAGAAACCTAGATACTGTAATACTCAACTTGCAACTATCTCTTGCCCTTAAGTTTCCTGGAGTGTGGCCAGGTAAAGCCTTTGGGTGCAGCTCTTGATCCATGTGTTTGCAACTTGATGTTTTCTATAATTATGGAACCCATGGCTTATGTGCCATTCAGAAAAAATAAGATTGGCTTTTTTATTCTTTTCTTTAAGGCTTGGAATCAAAATACCTCCCGAAAATGATCTACTTTCCAAATTCAAAGTGATCTAAGTCTACCACAAATGACAAAAACATTTTTTAATTATAGACTGAACTAAAGCAAAACCGAGAGTAAAATAAAGTGGATTTTCGTTTTTGTGTTTAATGAGAATTTTAAGACTTGTTTAATTCTGGCTGGAGGTATAGCTCAGTAATCGTACACTTAGCTAGCATGTATAAGCTTTAGGTAAGAGGAAGGTAGGCATGGAGGGAGGAATGGAAGGAAGGAAAGAAAGAAAAAGGAAGGGAGGATAATTCTGCTCGTATCAACCACAAGGTAGAATGGAACACACTGCAGCTAAGTGTCGATAGTAACAAACATGGCAACAGCAACCACTTTACACAAACCAGAGGGTGGCACTTCCCCTCTCTTAAAACAAGTCTACCAGAGGTTGCCCTTCCTAAAGCTAACAAAGACTTTGGGAATACATCAGTCATTCTATGAGTTTATTCCTCTGTTGAAAGAGGTTTCAACTTGAAAGAAAAAAATCTGCTGTACAAAATGTCAAACAGCTGCCCAAGACTCACCTTTGTCAGGAGTACGAAGTGTCAATTTCTTAACTCCATCAACCAGCACACCAGTGTGGCCATGTCTATCTTCTGAGTCGCTGCCATCAAACTGAGCCTCGATAATGACATCAGGACTATTACAGTTTTTGGGGGACTGCTGCTGGTGTCCACAGCACTCCTCAGAGATATCAGCTTCATAAGTAACTTCTGTTTCTTTGTCATTGCTCTCTGATTTAATTGCCTGAAGAAAGGAGATAGAAAAATTCTTTTAAATCACTGCAGGCAGCTGGCAATATTAAATATTCATAACACACGATTAGGAAAAAAAATAGACCTCCCAGAACTTGGGAGGCAGAGGCAGGTGGATCTCTGTGAGTTCGAAGCCAGCTTGGTCTACAGAGTGACTTTTAGGATAGGCTCCAAAGCTACACAGAGAAACCCTGTCTCGAAAAAACAAAAAAGATAAAAATAGACCTTTATTCTTACAATGCACAGACTTACCTAAGGTAGATAAACAAACCAGCAATACCAGGCTGGTACTCAAGTCTTTAAGATGCCACCTTCTCAGGATTCTGATCTACATATTTATCCCCTCCCCAAAAGCCTAGAATACTAGAAAGTTCCATGCTGCTTCATGAAATTTTATCACAAAGAAGCAATCAGCATGTTAAGAAAGGATAAAAGAATTCACCCAGGTATGTCACAGTGTTTCCCATGGATCCCACTTCCAGATAAGATGGTAGACTCCAAGTCGCTTCCATGTGACCAAAGAGAAAAAGTCAGAATAGGGAAAGATTCTGTTCCAAAGAGAGGTGAGAAGGAGCTTCAGAAATTCGAAAACACAGTGGTAGAACACTAGGAGGTAGGCTGGGGTAGGGGGATACAGAAGCATTATCCAAAAGCAAATGTTCTCTTCTCTGGAGGCTACAGGGAGTTGAGCCCAGAGAGTAGGCTGCTTAATGGAAGATCCCAAATAAAACTCAAAGAGGTACTCATAGCAGCAGATGCATAAACCACAACACAGAAAAAGCAAGGTAATATGGCTTCTCCAAAAGATTATAACTCCTTGAGCATTGAAATCAAAGACAGTGAAGTCAGTTAAGACACTAGATAACAATTTCAAAAGTTTGTTAGTGAAAACAATCAATGACTTCAAAGGTGATACAGATTAAACTCAATCCAGGACCCAGAATGGGAGACATCAACCTTAAGGAAAACACTGACAAAATGGATGAGATCAGCAGCAGCATGGCTGAGAAAGTCAGCAAGGAAAAGTGAGAGATTCTGAAAACAGACAGTGACAACAACAAAAACAAACAGAAATTAACAACTCAATGAATCAAATAAAAACACACTGGATACCATCATCCACACACTCAACCTAGCAAGAGAGAAAATACTGGGGATGGAGAGCAAAGCTGATGGCATGCTACATTCAAACATCAACAAAGAAAAAACAAACTCTGGGATACAATCCAAAAACCAAACCTAAGAAATTACAGGAAAATAGAAGAAACTGAGAAAAAGAACATAAGATGCTGTGGAAAAGACAAAATTAGACATAAGAGTTTATAAAATGTTCTCTTGAAGATATAAAGCCTTGGGGCTGGAAAGACAACTTTGCAGTTTACAGCGCATACTGTTTCACAGGGGACCAGAGCTTGGTTCCCAGCACCCACATGAGGCTGAAACATGACAGCCATGTGACAATATTCGTTCCCATCTGTATGAGTATGGTAAAACAAACATCAAACAAATAAGCCGTGTGTGATTGAGTTGCTGAAGAAAACATGTGACCTTATATGTATATTGGCCTATCAACATCAGCAAAAAGTATAGTAGACTCTGTGGGTTCCAGATGTTACTATCACACTGCACCCTTCTTAAGACTCTACTTCTGCATGAAAAACTAAAACCTTATACAAGTTAAACATACAATAAAAACTAGAATGACCACAAATATGTGTATATAAATACAAAAAACAGATTCAATCACTATTTATAGTTTGTGCCTAGCACTCTTTTAAACAAACAACAGAAAGTCCCCCTTGGTGAGTACTGTCACAAGCCTCTATCTTAACTGGGGTGACAGACTAATACCAAGGTACACATGCATTAAAGAACTCATTCTTGAGTACGTTACAGGGCCATATACTATTTAGGAGCCACAAACACAGCAAAGAACAGTTAACCAGGAATAAGTTCAATAAGAACTGTGGAAGGAATGAAGAGCTGGTGAAGATGTTAAGAGGATGCGAGGATGTGCGGGGTTACTAGCAACACTGCATTGTTTTGAGGATGCTTCAGTAGAAGCAACATGTAAACAGAGGCCTGAATAAAGTATTGACGTTGATCATGTGAAGAGTCTACTAAATTTAACTGGGAGATTTCAAAATATCAGCTACCTACTTTCAGCAAACCAGATTAATAGTCTAATTAAATCACATGAAGATCATACTTAATGAAAGATTACCTTACAAGGGTCAGAAAAGTTAATAAATCCTTCCTACAATATTCTAGTACTATGGTTTTCAAATGCTGTAACTATTCCCAGATGATTAATGCTATAATGTTCACTTAGAAAACCAAAGTGAAATATTATAAAAAATTCACATCATAATAATAATTAATAATAACATGTTTATAATAACTCTAAAACATAATCCCAAAATTTTGGAAAAAATGGTTTTATGAAATTATAGAAAGAAAAAAACTTGTATACAATGGTTAGTTTTTCTGAGCAACACAAAATAAGCTTCTTAAAAATTAAAAATTTAAAATCTTGGGAGTTCTTACTAGGTGTGGCAGGTCATACCTATATACCCAGCATTCAGGAGATTTGAAGCATGGGGATTAAATTTGAGGCTACTACGGTTTCTCAGGAAACTGGGAGTCAACCTACCTCAAGATCCAGCAATATACCCAAGAGATGCCCAATCAAGACTACAAAAGCATTTGTTCAACTATGTTCATAGCAGCATTATTTGTAATAGCCAGAACCTGCAAACAACCTAGATGACCCTCAGTGGAAGACTGGATAAAGAAAGCATGGCAAATATACACATTAGAGTATTACTCAACAGTAAAAAAACAACGACATCTTGAATTTTGCATGCAAATGGATGGAAATAGAAAACACTATCCTGAGTGAGGTAACCCAGACCCAAAAAGATGAATATGGGATGTACTCACTCATTAGTGAGTACATGAAGCCAATGATAATGGCACTGGGATTTGATTCTACTGCATGTTCTGGCTTTATGGGATCCTAGTCTGTTTGGATGCTCACCTTCCTAGGCCTGGATGGAGGGAGGAGGGCCTTGGACTTCCCACAGAGCAGGGTACTCTGCCCTCTCTTAGGACTGGAGGGGTAGGGGAGAGGGTGAGAGAGGAAGCGGGAGGGAAATGGGAGGAGATGGAAATTTTGAATGGTATTATTTATAAAGAAAAAAAAAATTAAACACCAAAAAAAAAACACCAATAAGGGGACAATGAACTCAAGAGACAGTTGTCAAAGATTATAAATGAGCAATAAATACAAGAAAAACCCTCTGAAAAAAAAATCTGAGGCCACTAGAAAATGAACTGTAAAACAGCCTGCACTCTCTGTCCAAAAGGACAGTAACCTAGAAAAGATTCCCTTGGTTCTTTTCTGCAAGAGCACAACGAAGTGACCTACATTGACATTCAAGTTTTTAAAAGTTGCCTCCTCTCCCCTTTGCCTTACACATAGATCGTCTATGTTCATAACATGAATAAATCCTATATGTTCACACATAATTACATATCTGTCCCAAAGTAGATCATTCAAAAAAATGAGGGTGGTGGCAAATTGAGTACATTGGGAAGCTGAGGCAGAAGAATCAGGAGTTTTAGGCTAGTCTGGGCTACATAAGACTCAGGAGGGAAAGGAGGAAGAGAACTGGGAGAGAGAGGAAAAATGGAGAGGAGAAAGGGGTTGAGGAAGAAGAGAGAGCAGAGAAAAGGGAGGGAGAAAAGGTAAGAAAGAAAGAGAAAGAGTATGCTACAGAAGAAAAGGACTTTCACATCATTCAAATCAGCAAACCCACTGAACTAACTTAAATAACCTTAGAAATTAAATAATACTTAGTAACATCTGTCCATAATCATCCTCAAACAATGAGCATAGCAATAAGGTTGTCAGAGCATCCCAGACAAGCAGGTGGAGCGTGCACAGAAGAAGTCTCAGGCAGGGTGACTACAACCAGACATTGTTCTATTGTTTTACCACAAAAGAAGCACAACTGGTAATTTAAAAAAAATCAAAATGACTAACATGGTAGAGTGTGACTAACAGGTCACACTAAAACATAATCTCATTCTCCATTGTTCCCTCTCCCTGATTTGTTTTGTTGTTTGTTTGCTTGCTTACTTGCTATGTTTTGCTTTGTTTTTGGTGGAGTGAGGTGTTTGGGGATTATTTGCTTGCTTGTTTTTAAGAAAGAAATATGGAACCATAGGCACATGCTACCGTACCCAGCTTTTTAAAAAGACAGTAGGTGAAGAGCCTAGGCCTTTAATTTCTACTATGTGTTTATTTCAGCCACTACTAGTTTCATAAATGAGTTGGTTCCCACAGACTACTGAGAAAATATTACACAGGGAACCAGAATTCTGACTTCAAACAATATGAAGACTGGCCCATCTCACATCTTTCTCTGAATGTAATCATATAAGAAGGATTCTAAAATCAGCATGATTCTACCCAACTATTTATTAAGAACTGTACTTTCCTGATATAATAGAGGCACAAATGTAATGGGAGTAACCAATCATCTTGGTTGGATTTAAAGCCCACTCCATGAGGCAGAACCCATAACCAACATTGTTAATAAGGCCAAGAATTTAGACAGGTCCCAGGCTCTAGGAGAAAATCTACTACTAATACTCTCCTAAATGAATATAATAATAAAAAGACTCCTAATGACATATTGCTATATTCATAGATCAGTATTTAACTCAACACACATCAGAGAAGCTTCTTCTTTCACTAGATGGTAATTAACAGAGAAACCCACAACTGGATAATGTGCAGAGGGTGAAAGACTTTGGAGAGCTCAGTCCTACCGAAATGGGCTGTCACTACCATATCCCTCCCCTCAAGGCTCAGGGATCTATGCAGGAGAGAAGTTGAAAAGTCTAAGAGCTAGAGGCGAAAGATGACTTCAAAGAAACAACATTTTCCAGACACAAGAAGACTGAAGACTAATGCACACATAA